TTTTTTTTTCTCCTCTCTTTCCTCCTCTTTTCTTCTTCTTTTCCTTCGCTGTTTCTTCTTTCTCTCCCGGACCTGCATATGCAAGGCTTGAACCATACAAGGGAGTAATTCCAGTGAAAAGTGTCATCGTGGAGAATGATATTGCAAGAGTTTTGAACAGAGTCTGCAGAAAATGAAGTATCCAATCCACAAAGCTCAAGTTAATATGATAATAAAACATAACATGAAATCAAATAAAAAATTACCTACCATCTCTCTTCTGAGTTCTTGCTTGTAACCAAGCTCATTAAGGCGCTTTTCTCCTGAATCCATCTCTTGGATTCTTGATGCATCTACTTGGTTGTGTACCATTTTAGCTCAAAATTAAATTAGCAGCTTATAAATATGCAACTGGGTTTTATACAACAAAGAGAGAGAGAGAGAGAGAGAGAGAGAAGGGAAGGAAAAAAGAAAGAAAGAAGAAGAGTGAGCGGGGCCAGGCGGAGAGAAAGAAGAAAGAAAAAAAGAGAGAAGGGAAGGAAATTTTTTTTATAGTTTTGGATTGATTTGACGATTATACCCTTGGATTTAACGGTTTTTTTGACAGAGGGACTATTTAAGAGTACCTGTATTAACGTTAGGGACCATTAATGATACAAAAAAACATTAGGGATGCAATGTGATAATTTCGCAAACGTCAGGGATGTTTTGTGATAATAAGCCTTTTTATTTTGCTAAACCCTAAATTGATCTAATTAAAATAAACTAAAATAAAATTTTATAAAATTAGAAAACTTTTTTAAAAATTAGGAAAATACTCCAGCTCGAAATTTCATGTTTATGTGCCTTTAAATTACAACCTTAAAGAAATTTTGTAATGGGTATTGAACTCATCCATAAGACGTTCTCCAACTAAGTGGAGACAAATACCTTTATAATTATTTGTTCTTGTGTCTCATAATTATATGGAAGGACGAGATTCGTAGCATCGTCTATGACTGCTGTTTATTGGTGACCAAATTTATAATATAATTATCCGAACTATAAAGAGTCCAATTTTGCAGATCAATGGAATGGTTACTAGATATATACAAGGGAAGGTCATGTCTTAATTATCATCTCTCATCCCATCCCATGCTTCCAAAAATAAACTCACTCTTTCCAAGTTATAGCTTCCTTGATATACAGAATATAAATAATCATACCATTTGGTTTTACACCCTATTTATCTTCTTTTTTTGTTTTGTTTTTTAAGTTTTAAGGAAATCAAAAGAACAATCAATGAGGATAAACTTAAAAAGTTATAATCTTTTCTTTGTGAGCTAAATGAAATGAAATAATAAAGCAAAGTCTTGTAACCCTCTTTGGTGATGGCAATAATAAAGCAAACCTTTTAAATGAGGCTAAAATGAAATAATGGTGTGCAGAAGCCAGTAGTACAAACAAGAATACTTCTTCTATGCACAATTGGTTAAATAGTCCAACATCAATATATTTTTTACAATATCAAATCAAAAACCTTGTCAATCTAGCACAAGCTCATAGCAAAATTCATCGGATGTACAGTTTTATATGAGATGGCTACAAGATAAAGGCAGCACACAGTCACAGATACACGGGTGACAGGCAAACTTCTCCTACAAGTTTCCATTTGGCGTCTCTCCTCCACTCCTTGCTGCTCTTTTCTGTAAGTCCGCATCAAAATGTTGAAAAGCCGCATCAAGAGCCTGCACTAAAATGGTCTTAGTACCATTTGACATTCTTATTCAAATGCATTAATCCTTGCAATTAAACTGAAAATCAAAGACAGTATTGACCTGATGCATTGGACGAACGAGGAGGGAAACCTGGTGCCGGAAGTCTGATTGCTTTATCTCCTGGAAAATTTCATTTAATACATGAACCAAGTAAAATCCTCTTTTAAAAAAATCAAAGACTGATATTAATTGGGGATATAACACATGAATTACCTATATTAAAAGTATAAAAGAGAGTGAGAAAATGTGTTTTTGACCAAAATGACATTTTCTATTTTTCCTTAAAACAGAATTAAGGTGATGTTAGAATGCAAAGGTTGGAGCACTAACTGAGACTCTCTTAATAGACAAAACCATAAATAAATATACATTACACCAAGCCAGTTGTGTCTCAGTGCTATATCACAGTAAAGGAGGATTCAACTTCAATAAGAAACCAACATCTCTCTCCTCTCCAAACATTTCCATCCCTCACATCCCAATGAAGATCTTTAGTTCTGTTCACGGAAAAGCCCCAAGGAACTCTCATAAAGGTATATGGCAACTTGACCTTAACTCAGGGTGATTCTATATTAGCCATGAGGAATGGTCCGTATGGATAACCCACTAAAGAAGGCCCAAGACCACTAACTACTTGTGGGGTGAAGGAACCCTAATGCTAGTGGGCTGTTCTCAGCAGTTCTAGCTCAACATCAACAATAACCCTTTCAAGGAAGATAGATCAAAATCAGTTCATAGTTTTGAGCTTTTGTCAAGTATTTATATAAAACACAATATGGTGTTTCTTATACTTAGAAAATGCATGTGGGGGACTCAACTAGTATGTTGTTAACAAAGCTTGGAAACCAAAAGTTAGATAAAGATAAACTAGCACAAATTATACCTCTAACTGTCGATAAATTTGTGACATGGCATCCTTCAGTCTGCCTACCTGCATGAGAATTTAATGAATCCACAAATAATAATGGGTAATGATTTCCCCACTCCCATTTTGACCACTTACACTCCTTTTTCAGTTATAAAATGGAGTGTAAGCGGACAAAATTGGAGTGGGGAAATCACCACTCATAATAATAATAATAATAATAATAATAAACAGCTATGCTAATGAGTTATGATTTTCTTATTCTTATTTGAACAAACACGGCAAAATTTTCAAACACCCTTTGACCCTTCATCAACCTATTGGGTAAATAGGTTCCAGGCCAATTTGATTCAATCATAGCCCACTATATTATGTTATATTAAAATATTCAAAAGATGATTCGGGCTTGTCCTCCCCTCAAAATGAGATCTTCCATAACAAGAATCCTCCTCATAAGTCCTAAGGTCAAAATCTCAAAAATCTCTAGCAATCATTTCATTTCATAACATATCGCATAAAGGAACCCATCTTGTATAAAAACTAACCTTAGTAGATAGATACGTTGTTGTAATTGGATATGAAGACCAAAAGTGCCTCAGTAATTCTTGAATGGACATCCAGTGCTGGAATAAGAAACATATCCATAAAATCAAAATCTAAAGCCAAATTTGTCATACTTCCTCAACTCTAAGACAACAGAGGGAACACAACTAAGTTTTTCTATGCTATCTACAAAGCGGCTAGTAGTCTTCAAAAAAAAATAAACAAACAAGTTGTTATTCACTCACATGCAGAAGTTCCTCTTTCGTTTTGTTTGGCAAACTGTCTAGGACACTGTCCTGAGGATTCTTCCCAAGTTGATACTTCGTACTTGAAATATTCTGGGTCAGTCCATTAAGAACCTATACCACAGAAATGGGGAGTAAAACATTCTTGCTAGTTAAGTATACACGCTTATAAATATACATATCACGTCTTGATGTGTGCTTTGTGCTTTCTAGCATATCATATATTGAAAAAGACCTGGAATGAAGATATATACCGTAATAGCAATTTCTGGTGCAACTGTGGAATTTTTCAATCCAATGCTCTTAATTTTAGATATAGCCTCCCTCAAGGAGCCATATGCTTCCTCAGTGGTCAGGCTGCATTTTTTCTGTTCAGTTCCAGTACGTGAGTCATCCAAAGTTTTAAGTGCATTAACTTGTTGCGTGTCAAAGTAGTCTCGAGGATCCTGTTTCCAGAAACACATGAAACATCTAGAGCATCAGAAGAAAATTAAAAATAAAGTATGGATCTTCTGAATGAAAACTGTTAGCCTGCAGCTAGAACGATGTCAAAGTTAACCTTAATACATAATTGAGCAACAGGATGATCGTGATGTTCTTGAAGGTCCTCTATCTCCGTCATCCGAGTAATCCTATCAAGTCTCTCCTGTTCAGCACTCTCATCAGACTCTGCAAAAACAACAGCTAAAATAAGCAAAGATGCTGTGCTCCTATCAGAAATATTGAAGGGAGGAAAATCCCAATGGATGAACCAAAGGGGGAAACATAGGACCATGCTAACCCCGTCTTGACTGCATAAGTGCCTCCGCAACAGTTCTTGGATCTTCTAAATCAACATCTGCAGTCAGGTTCACAAATCAAAGTTATCTACTAATTTACTGAAAATATAGTGACCTAAGAATCAAACTTTCATGGTTTGTTATCTACATCAGATTAAAATAAATAATTTATTCTTATGGCACATATTAATTAATGGAAGGAAAAGGAAATAGGTTCAAGAGAGAGTCTAACCGACTGTTCTTCCTTGAAGAACAACAGCGCCTTGTCGGTTAAGGTCTTGTGATAAAGTCCTCCTGTATAGCTCATTCTGCAATTCCATAACGTCCTTGCTTCCATCACGAAATATCCCATGATCCTGATTTTTAAAAACGTAGCAAATAAGACACGATAAATGAATGCAGCTTTCCTGTATCCCTAGAGACGTTACGTATTATAACGAAAAAAATTTGTGACGGATCAAAAACATAAAAGAGCATTTAGAATATGACAATGTAAAATAGAGGAAAATATGAGGAATATTCTGCAATTTACCATTTATAAGATTAGGACCCAAATGCCAAATCACCTTA